GGTCCGAGATGAGCAAACGGTCTTCCTGATGTTTGAGTTAGATTACAGCGACGACATCATTGGGACTCTATAAGTACCCCAAATGGCGCTCTGAACCGGACGACGTTTCCGAATCGTGAAGACCATTGAAAGTCGACCTAGTCGCTCGGATCAGCTCTGAAGGTCCTGTGCGCTAGAATCCAGACATATAGAGCATACTCACCTCCGCTGCTTGAGTTCGAAGCACCTCCCCAAGGTTGCCTGTTCGTCGTCGTTGTCAGTCACCAAGCCACCAACACCGAGTCATATTCCGAAGCTCACCTATCCAGAACGAAGGGCTCCTCGGACCTGCAATATCAGCAACCGAGACATTTCTGGATTTGCGGACGCGGTAAAGAACCACGCCGGCCATCATGGCTAGGAGTATAGAAAGTTGGACTTGGAGGGGAGACACGGCCATGGTTTCGAGCTGAATGTCTAGGTTGAAGTTGTGGAAAGCCTTTCTTTGGCTTATATAGAAAACAGGCAAGGATAAGATGATAGGGTGCCAAGGGGTCTTGGGGAGACGTCTACAGCCGGCGCTGTTTTACAGTATAATTGTATTTGGCCCGAATAGCCGTGATCACCCAGAAAACCTGACACAATGTAGCCGCACTTAGATCTGTCGTTCTAGTTTTTGGACGTAGCGGGTTCTAAAAAAAGCGAGTACTCACAGCGGGAACCATTAGCTGCTTCTATCAATGGACTAGCAGGATGTAGTACGTAGACCACCGGCAGAGTGCGCTGCTGATGAGAAGATATTGATAGCGAGCTAGTCTCCTGTAAGCAGACGTCCCAAATAGATGGCCTGATTCTCTATATCCATATCTTCGTGTCCCATTGAGTCGAGAGAAGATGGTAGTGGTAAAACGTGAATGTGTGAATTTTGAAAGTTCCAAGCTCGAGTGTTGTGCCCGGCCCGCCCCCAGCTTCGGTCCGGTCAGATACCAAACTCCAGCCACTAAATGTTACTTTAAAGTTACAGTACCTACAGTCATTAATAGTAGCGGTCAACGTGAACGATTCACCTGTCGATTCAAGTGCCGATTCAGTGTCGATTCGTCAAGGGTGAATCGACGGGATTCGTTGACCGCCCCATTTGAAGGGTCGATTCAGAACTCGATTCATGTTCTCGATTCGTCATAGATTTTGCTGCTATAAACAAACTTACAGCCTTATTACCGGTTTATATGACAACAACATTCTGATTCACTGATGAGTCGCAGCTGGTCCTAGAAGAGGCTACTCAGAAAATAGTACCTGCTATATATACTCAAAGCCTCAGCAAAGGTCTTCAAGTGGTAAGGTGATTGGCCACATTTGGGGAGAACAGGAAAGCACTTACAAGCAATTCTCAACTTAGCGAGAATAAGAAACGATATCAATAATTCACTATAATTCACCCCGAATCACTGATTCACCATGCTCTGATTCACCATCTGAATATAAAAGTGAATCGACAGGTGAATCGTTCACGTTGACTGCTACTATTATTTTGAATCGATGAAGTCTGGATGAATTCGAGGATCTCGATCTTCTGAGGCTTGATTTTGTGTTTGAAGGGACATTTGATTCATAGCTAGCAGCTGAATCCTGCTGGTTTCTACGGTGACGCCTAGAGCAACATACTAGCGGCCTAAGTTGGTAACATGATTTTACGTTTGACTGAGCCCTTTACTGCATGTCCCGAGCAACCCGAACCCGCAACGGACACTGCCCGCCCTTCTCCACCTCTCCCTCAATAGTCGGCACCATAACACCACAAGCTTCACGTCTAATCTTGTCGCACTCGGGAGTCGTCGAGAACTCAAAGTTGCTGATCAACTCAACGAGGAAGGTTTGCAGCTCAAGGACGCTATGAGAGGGGTGAACGCACGATATGAGTCCACGAGACTTCAGGAGCTTCAGAACAGTACTCACGCGAATCGCCACCCGATACACGAACGAACGCCTCCGGAGAACGTTAAACTGCAGGTTGTGTCAGAACGGAAGGACCACTGAGAGTCGTGAAAAGTTTCCCTCTTACAGGTTTGCATAAACACCGATTGATGTGACGCCTTTCTTCGAGTCCTCGTTCTCAAGCCACCGCTCTGGTCGGAAAACGTGCGCATCTTCACCATACACCTCTTTGTTCCTGCGAACTCGGTCAGAAAGTGGCAAAGAACTGGACCCCATGACCCAGACGAACCTGTTATAACCCGCGATGGAAAGGATGACCTTCTGCCCTTTAGACACGGGGATCTCACTAATCTCCTTCCCACTCGCGGTCTTGATACTTTCGCTCAGGGGGAGACAGTCATCCACGAACGCCATCCTCAGGATACGGATAGCAGCAGGGTGATAACGCATCGATTCCTGCACACAAGGGGGGTCCGTGTCAGGATAGGCTTGCAGACAGCGAGAGCGGAACGTAAAAAACCACCTTCAAGACAGCATTCAAGTAAGGAAGAGAGTCGTAATCCTCCGCCGTGAACCCTAATCGCGAACGTCCCTCAAAGGCAAGTTGACGTTCCTTTTCGCGAACCTCGTTTCGGAGTTTGTCTTGAATTTCGGGGTGACGAGAGAGCTCAAGGAGAATCCAGCTGATAGAATTGGCTGGGTGGGTGTTGGATGTTCGTCAGTCTCGATAGACATCAGCATTGGGCGAACTTACCAGTCGTCTCATGGCCCGCAATGAAGATGCTCCTGTTTCATTCATGAGTCAACTTGTTTCGACTACCTCCCAAAACACGATCACGGACTCACAGCATCTGTGCATATAGCTCTTCGTCGCTCATTTTAGTCCTCTCGTTTTGAGAGGCCATATTGGCTTTGACTGAGTAACGGAATGTGTCAACACCCCCCATCGTGCATCGGATAGATACTCAAAAAGACTCGCCCAAAAGAGACATGACATCTCTAATTCCTTTCCCTTGTCGATCCAAAATCTCCTTTGATTTCTCCTCAACCAACTCCCTTGCAACCTCCCTCGCAACTTCCCTTGCCTCTCGTCCACGAGCGAGTCGAGGGTCAGATTTCGAAAGATATTCGAATAGCCTAGCCATAGTTTCGATAGGGAGCAAGGCAGCTATAGAGTTCACGATCAAGGAACTATCAGAGGGGGCGGCGAACATATCTGCACTAGTAGTTTCGGGCGTGAGTCAACGAGTATGGCTTCGGCTATAGATTCGAAAGGGAATGGAAGCTCACAAGAGATTGTGATACGCTTTCGAAAGTCGATTGTCTTGATCCTCCATCGCACCAAAGTTGTAGTCGAAACCGGCTTGACGTGCCAGACAATAGCGATAAGCTTTTGATTGAACCCCTTTAAGACGAAACGCCAGTGCGCACCGTGTCCGATCGCGTCCAATGTAGCGCGAGACGTCCATCTAGGTATATTGAACACCTCCGACTGATCATCGGATACTGACAAGAGATCCTTCCATTTATTCGACAGCTAAAAGTGGGCCGAAAAGGTCGATTTCTAGCCCAAAATCGACACGATCGAAGGTACTTACTGAGGAAGCAGCCGCAGAAAAAATCGGGACCAAAGCTTTCGATTCCGAAGCACCAAAGGCAGGGTTCATAATCCTTCGATGCCTCTTGTGATCTTCACCTGACGACCGTGATGAAAGATAACATTGGCGATGGGACCTTGAAAAGAGAGAACCAAGGAACGTGACGAACCGTGGACATAGGCAACACCGGGACCTTCGACGATAGTCAGCAAAGGATAAGAGTAAGAGATCACGGGCACGACTCACCAGCTACAAACAGATTACGAGCTCGTTGCTCACCCGAAGCACCCCATCGGTATCCTTGCAAGATATGGTGAACTGCTTTAGGGTCGGAAATGAGCAACCGATCTTCCTGTATTAATTCTCTCGAGTTAGTGGCTTTCTTTCTGAGACGTCTGCAGTTAGTACTCACCCCGAACGGAGCCCTGAAGCGAACCACGTTTCCGAATTGCGAAAACCATCGAAAGTCCACCTAATACTTCTTCTAGCCTTGTGTGCGGAAAGTCAAGCGTATAGAGCGACCATACCTCCCCAGCTTGAGTCCGAAGCACTTCCCCAAGGTTGCCTATTTGTCGTCGTCATCGAACCCCCCAAATATATATATAGCAAGCCCAAGTTTGAATGAAATTCACCTATCCAGAACGACGGACTCTCCGGGCCTGTAATATCAGCAACCGAGACATTCCTTGACTTGCGAACACGGTAGAGAAACGCGCCCGCAACGACGGCCAGAAATACGGAAAGTTGGAGTGGGTTCAAGTTTGCTTTGATGACTTCGAGAGATGTGATCATGATCGAGGGCGTGTCCATGGTTTCAAGCCTGAGCTTATATGCCTGGAACCGGGAAGGAATAGGACATCAAGGCAACATCAAGGGGAGACGCGTACAGCCGCAGTCGTGTTTGAATGAATTTCAGTACAGGGGGTTGCCTAGATATTTTTGACGCAACTTTCGGGTCCCTGATGTGGACCTACAGGCTGTCGAGTTTCGCGGTACTTCTGAGTAGTAAGAGAAGGGAAAGGAGAAAAGTAGGCCAGTAAGTGCTTACAATCGGAACCATTAGCCAGGCCCGCAGCCTAAGATGTATGCACTGTGTAGGCCAGACTTCGCAACATTTCATCCCCAGTTGTTTCCCTGAGCGAATACTCCGACTAATGATAAGGAAGCGTTGATTGCGAACCGGACTGCCTTCACCGTGTCCCGATGAGTTACGATAGAGGGTGATGGTGAATTGTGAACGTGCAGACTTGTTGAGTTCGAGCTCTGACTGGGGATTCCCGGTCCGGTTCCTGCTTCGGTCCGGGTGAACTCACTAACACTCACTCACCATCGAGCCTCGACGAAGACGAAGAACAAGGCGAAGTCCAGTTTACATACGTGTCAGAGCCACGTACTTCAGTTTCTTGTTTGTTTGTCCAGCCTCTTCAATACCCTATCATTTGCTCAAGTGAGTTGAATAATAAAAAACACCACGACGCTGGAGCATAGCAGCAACTTGTTTCGATCAAGTGACCTCGGGGTACCACCTGTCGCGAGTGGAAATTTGATATATGGGCCCCGCGCGCTACCACTGCGCCATGCTGCTTTCGGAAACCCTTCGCTTAATTCCTTTATGGCTCCAAATCCAAACACGGCAGGTATCTTTGGAGTTGGTTCTGTCACTAGTAGGTGGTTAGATTTCGAGATGAAGGAAACCCAACCACATTAAGAGACCCCGCATTCCTTACTTCTCACTTCTCATGCATGCAACGCCTCGTTTCGAGGAGAGATCCAACCCAGCTATTCGGATAGAGGTCTCACATGTGCACGTGTGTGACTCTTTCGGATAGAGATATGGTGGTGGTAATTGGGGGGGGGGGGTGTAGCGGCCTTCGTTGCGAATGTAAATGAAGGTGGATGGCATGATGAGGGAAAGACGAACTGAGAACCTTCCAAACTCCAAGCCTTGTGGTCTTTTCGTCTCTGTACTCCTGCAATGAGAAATTAGCTCGAAGGAAACGCAACTGAGACACTCACGGATCGAGACCGTGAACGATAGATTGGGAGGCTTAAGAGCTAAAGAGACACAGGGGATTAGATGGCTGGTGAAAAGAGGCGTATGGGCGTATCTGAGGGCGTTATATGCATCGTTGAGGCAGTCATGAATATGAGTTCAGGTACTGATCCAAATTGTAGTGTTCAATAAACGTCTGAGAGAACGTGTGTAGAGCACACACCAACATTCATCGTCCCAAATCTCATCTTCACGCTAATCATCCTGAGAGAGAGATCCATGTCAGTGAAGCGTCCACGCGAAACATCGGGGAAATCGCTGTCATCATAATCATCCTTCTCCCCATTCCGAGTCTTTGACATTTCACCAGGAGATTGACATCCAATTCGACGGCCATGTAGTGGCCAGTGATGTTGTATTCCGTATCTGAAAGTTGAGGCATTTGAGACGCTCAGCGACTAGCTATCAGGCAGCTTCCCCTCATTCTCCTCCTTTCTATTGCTGTTCTAGTTCATGTCCGGGAGGTTGGGCGCGATAATACGAATTTGAAATCCATGGTGGAAGAATGAGGTGAGAGGCGCAGACGCTGACAAAGCGTTGTTGCTCGTTGTCACGAACGTCCACTAAGCACACTTTGACGACGGGCTCAATGGTGGTATATCCTCAAGCAAGATAGCTACGTGTCTGCAGAACAGTACTCTAATGAACCTGCGCAAACTTTTCAAGTTCAGAGTCAATCCTCCCCCACAAACCGTCATGCCACGTCTTCAAGTCATCCCATTCCCTCAACGTCTTCCTCAACATGACCATCCACCCACCCACGACCAAATCCGCATACGTCGGTGATCTTCCTCCCTCTAACCACGGGCCAGAACTATACGTGTACACTTTGGCCACATCACCAAGCGCCAGTTTGAGCTCCTCCAACTTCTTCTTCCTCTCCTCTCCCTCAGCGCTCAGTTGCTCCCACCTCTCCACTCCAGCCCTCCGACAGAACTCTGCCTTCGATATATCCGCCGTCTCCGGATTGAACGGAATCCCATGCACATACAAAGTTCCAAACCTCTGAAAGATGGCCTCAAAGTACTTGTTGAACGCCGCAGTCATTGCTACCCCGTTCGGAAACAGTCGATCGCCAGAATCAGGATACGTTTTATCCAGGTACACCGCGATGTCGAACGAATCTCCTACAATTTCTGCCTTTTCTTGGTCGTGGATGACGGGTAAGGTGTAAAAGTCCTCCCCAGATGCGAATTGCCGGACGGGTGCTGCGTTGAGACGTTTACGGACGTTCGTGACCTCGGGGAGTTCAACCCATTCCGTGCGGTAGTGGACCCGTTTTAGGTTGAGGGCGTAGCTACATATGAGAAGAGAAGGGGTTCACTAGGAGATCCAGTGATGATGGAAGAACAAGCCACGTACCGCGCTTTCCAGGGATTAGGGGCGAATGGGCTGACTGGGGGTGCCGAGGCAATGTCATAGAAGAGTATGGGCTTCGAGGATGCAGAATTTTCCATGGTTTTTTTGAACTGAAGGGTGCTTTTTTACTGGTGCTATCCAAACGCACCTTCATGTTTTATATCGATCCTTCGCTCGGTCACCGATACTTTGGTTCCGAGTCACAGAAGGTCAGCCATGCGTTCGAGTATGTACAAAGGGCATGAACTTCGCGAAGCCGATTCTCATGGACTCAAGCAGCGGCTCCGAAGGAGACTGGAGTTGGTATATGAGCGCTGTACCGCACTGGGCGCTCTCCGCTTCCGTTGGATATGTATTTTCTAGCCAAAGCCGACGCTCGCCGGTCGACATCGCCAAGTCCTTACTCATCCTCCTTTTACTGCGATACATTCCATTCAAACTACATAGCCTTGGCTCAGCAGAATTGTGTGCAGTCTTCGACGCTCATATCATCTTGTCGATGCTGATGAATCCTCAGAAACTGCATTTACCAAAGCCAGCGGCCTTTTTCGACCCAGAGTCCTTTTTCACCGCATGTTTGAGAATCTTTCGGCGTGTGTCCCTGGTCTGTGAAGAGTGTCAAAACCAGGATGTTGAATCAGATTGCAAGTATGTGTTTCGGCTCCTATTCTGCTCGCTGGCGAGAAAAAACTCGGTTTCAGGCTTACTGGCGCGAGAACAGTGATTTCCTCAAGGTTCTTAGCGATCATTAGGTATCATATTCACAAGAACGAACACAGAATGTTTGCTAGCCGAATCAGGCGAACGTCACACCATGGTAGATTTTGGGCGTAGTACTGCACTGTGAAGAATGATATATCGCTCATTCACAACGGCTGGCCCCAACCATTCACTCCCTAACGCATCGAACCTTCAACGGACACTGCCCACCCTTCTCCACCTCTCCCTCGATAGTCGGCACCATGACTCGACACGCCTCACGCCTTATCTTGTCACACTCGGGAGTGAGCGAGAACTCGAAATTGCTGATCAGCTCAACGAGGAAGGTTTGCATTTCGAGGAGACTATGTGACATGTCAGTTTCAGTCAGGGAGAATCCCGAGGGAGAGGGAGAGAACACGCACGCGAACCGCCAACCAATACACGAATGGACGCCTCCGGAGAACGTTAGACTACAGAAAGGGGGGTGATCAATCTCAAGTCAAGCCAGAAGTTGAGGGTTAAAAACCAAGAACGCGTACAGATTCGCGTAGACACCAACCGACGTACCACCCTTCTTCGATTCCCCGTCGTCGAGCCATCGTTCTGGCCTGAAAACGTGAGCATCCTCTCCGAATACATCTTTGCTCCTGTAAAGTCGAAAGTATCGGAAGTATAAGGATTACTGGGATTCGTGAATCAGACGTACCTATTATACCCCGCGATAGAAATCACCACCTTCTGTCCCCTGGACACAGGGATCTCACGGACCTCCTTCCCATTCGTCAGCTTGATACTCTTACTCAAGGGGATACAATCATCCACGAGCGCCATCCTGGGTGAATGAATAGCAACAGGGTGATAACGCATTGATTCCTGTGTGTGTAATTGTCAAGGACGAGCGAAGGGGGAGGCATTGTTGTCGGTACCTTCACAACAGCGTTCAGGTAAGATAAGGATTCAAAATCCTCAGCTGTAAACTCTGATTGCGAGCGTCCTTCAGAGATAAGTTGACGTTCCTTTTTGCGGATCTCGTTTCGGAGCTTTTCTTGGATTTCGGGGTGACGAGAGAGTTCGAGGAGGGTCCAGCTAATAGAGTTCGCTGGGGAGTCGTTTTGTCCGTAAATCCATAGACGCAGACGAACGGAACTCGAACTTACCGGTCGTTTCGTGACCCGCAAGGAAGATTATTCTGTTGGTCCGTTGGTAACCGGGGTTTTCTCAAGGGCGGAACCACAGACTTACAACATCTGCGCATACAACTCCTCGTCGCTCATCCTACTCTTCTCATTCTGAGACGCCATGTTTGCTTTGACTGGGGAATGGAACGCGTAAGTCCACATCCAAGAACATCTCGATAAATGAGAACCCCACCCAAAAATGACATGACATCCTTAGACCCACTTCCTTGTTCTTTCGATTTCTCTTCGACCAGTCCCTTCGCAACCTCCCTCGCAACTTCCCTTGCCTCTCGCCCACGAGCGAGTCGAGGATCAGATTTCGAGAGGTATTCGAATAATCCGGCCATTTGTGTTGCAGAGATAGGGAGGTAGGAGAATAAAGTGCCCACGATGAGGGCGCCATCGGAGGGGGCGGCAAACATGTCTGCGCTAGTGGGTGGGTGGAATTTGATGAGGGTGCGGATTACGGATACAGAAACCCCTGACCTGGACTCACTAGAGATTGTGATACGCTTTAGAAAGCCGGTTTTCTTGGTTCTCCATCGCACCAAAGTTGTAGTCGAAGCCAGCTTGAGGTACCAATCAATCGTGTAACTCTGCAAGAAAGACACGCTGGTACTCACCGTGTCCAATTGCGTCTAATGTAGCGCGAGATGTCCATTTGGGTATGTTGAAGACCTCTGACTGGTCGTTGGATATCGACAGGAGATCTTTCCATTTGTTCGAAAGCTATATGTAAGGAGCATTGTAAACCGGGATCCCACGCTGAAACCAACGGGAAATACTGACCGAAGACGCGGCGGTGGAAAAGACGGGGACCAAAGCTTTTGCTTCTGAAGCCCCGAATGCGGGGTTCATGATTCTTCGATGCCTCTTGTGATCTTCGCCTGATGATCATGATTCATGAGAATTAGCTCTTAACGCCATAAAGCCATAAAACCAAGGGATACACACCATCGACATAGGCAATGCCGGGTCCTTCAACACAATGACACCGTCGGAAAAAAGGTCAGTGAAGGATAAGAGAAGACAAGAGACCACGATTCCTTACCAACGACGAACAAATTACGAGCTCGTTGATCAACAGATGCTCCCCAGTTATAGCCCTGCAAGATGTGTTGGATAGCTTTGGGGTCGGAGATGAGCAGACGATCTTCCTTCGGGTTTAATACTTGGATTTCAACATGGGGCTCGAAAGATACCAAGAAAATTAACTCACCCCGAAAGGCGCCTTGAAGCGGACGATGTTCCCATATCGCGAAAACCATTTAAAGTCCATCTGATACAAGTTCG